CACACGCACACGCACACGCACACGCACACGCACACGCACACGCACACACACACACACACATATGCACGCATGCACTTCAGCCCCCACAGACAGCTGGAAGGAGAGCCTCTGTGAAAACCCAGAGGATAAGCACCATGAGGTTTGCACTAGCATTTTCCCTCCACCGAGAAATCCCGAGTGAGAGAGAATGGCTCTTGGTAATGAGATGCACAAGGCGCAGCAGGTTGGCAGGGATAGCTGCCCTCCGCTGTCACTCAGGCCAGCCACCCTTCAACAGCACAGTGTCTCCCTAGGACTGAGACCCAGGCTTCTCTACCTTACTGCAGACTGGGCATTAATAGTTCTTTACCTTCTTTCTTCATTTCCTTTTTTGAGACAGGGTCCCACTTTGTATTCCTGGCTGGCCTGGAAATTACTCTAGACCAGGTTAGCCTTGAACTCAGAGATCTACTTGCCTCTGCCTCTCAAGTTCTAAGATTAAAGGGATATGCTATGAGCTTGGCTTTTCCACTTTGTTTCTGAGGTGGGTCTCTCACTGAATCTGGAGCACAGCCATTCAGTTAGGCTGCCATTCAGCTAGATGGGGAGCTCCAGGGCCTGCCTGCCTCTGCCTCCCTAGTACTGGGGTGATACGAGGCTATACCTAGCATTTTACACAGGTGCCAGGGACCCAAGCTCAGGTACTCAGAGCCAAGTCCTCACTGACAGAATTGTCTCCCTATCCCTTCTGTCTTTTGATGTTGATTGGTTATTACTGTGTAGCCCAGGCTGGGCTGGGACTCACAGCAATCTCCTGCCTCAGCCTTCAGAGAGCTGAGTTTACAAGTCTGTTACCATGCCTGGTTCCTCAGACCTTTTCTTGTACATATCCCCGCCCCACACCTTAATGTTCTAGCCTTTCTCTTTCTCCCCAGTCCCTCCCAGTCTATCAACACAGGTGAGCTGGAAGCTCCAGATTCGTCTCCAGACCTAGGATGACACAGCCAAAGGGCAGAAACTTGGAATGAATGTAATTGGTCCCTGGACCCAGCCATTCCCACAATAGTCACAGCATGTGACATGGCCAGCTCTATAAAAACACACGTGTATAATTAGAAGCGTCCAGGCTGGGCTGGCACTCGTCAGTCCTGGCACTGGCTGAACATAATCTCTTAGGCCAGCACCAGGCAAGGCACCCTGGGCATCGTGAATAAAGACCTCTTCCCGGTCTCCCCTGAGCATCGACAAAAGAAGTGCAGTTTATGCCAGAAGCAGCCAGACAGGTACCGCCCTCCCTCCAGGCTCCAACCCTTCTGCCAAAAGACCCAAGGGAGCCCTCTCCTCTGAGAACCACTGTTCCAGGACTAGTGTCTGCCCTGAGGCAGGTTTTAGAACCCACAATGTTGAACTTGCAGGGCATTCCCAGTAGTTTCTGGTTCAAAGACACGGACACGTAAAGCCTCCTTTTTCCAGTGTGCTCCAACTGTGTCCTAGACTAAGCTTGTCATGACTGTGTCAAACAGAAAGGAAACACAATGTTCTTGAAGATGCAAGCTTCTACTCCTGCCCAGAAGCCCATGGGCCCCGCTGCTGGTGAATGAACACACAGGAAGTGCTCTATCCTCAGCTGTGGCTTCAGGGACCCTGAAGGACCCTTACCCACTGAGCTGTCTCTCTGTCTCTAGGCAGGCGCTCTGCTAGCCCAGCTCGGGAGGGCCCCCATGGAAGGGCTTCTACTGCCAGCAATGGCCAACACTTCCAAAGCATGAGAAGGGAACTGAGACCACAAAAGACACAGTCCCCATCCCCGTCAGAGGATGCCCTGGAAGCAAACAAACACAGCTGGGGCACAAAGGACCACAGCAAAAATTTTCAGGAAAAAATAATAAATAGATTAACCCTGGTAGTGGTGGCACACACCTTAAACCCCAGCACCTGAGAGGCAGAGGCAGGTGGATGTCTTTGAGTTCAAGACTTCCAGGACAGCCAAGGCTACACAGAGAAAGACTGTCTTGGGGGAGAAAAAAACCACACACACAAACAAACCTCCCCCAAAAGATTAAAACCCCACAAACAAACTTCAAAAAAAGCTGGGGTCAAGGGACAGAAGGCCCAGCTGAGGTCAATGCTGGAGCTCCCCCCCCATAGCTACCATGGCCAAAGCAACCCTACATGACAATACACACATGGGCTAGGGGATCCACACGCCAGTACAGACAGTTGATGAACCATCAACTCCCAGAAGATCAAAGGAACTTCTGAGCCAGCAGGACATGAAAGGCCAGGGGTGTGGGTGGTGGTTGTGCCGCAAGCTAACTTACAAACTGCCCCTCATCGATGCCAATGACAGACACACTCAAGGCCTCCTTGGTCACATCCTGGAGCATGCAGGCTGGCAGCGCGTCCATGGTGTTCCTGGGAAGAGAAGGCCAGAGGATGAGCAAGGCCAGAGGCCAAGCACCTGTAGGCCCCAGATGCTGGGACAAGGGTGCTTCTGTGGTCCGACAGAGCAGCCTGAGGTGTTCCATCAGTTTCTATGGGGGGAGGGATGGGGAATACAGGGCCTTGTTCAGAAAACCAGTTAAAACAGGTTACCTCCCTTAACTGAAAATGAACAGTGCCTGCTACTAAGCTCAACAAAGACTCCAAAGTTTCTTATTCAACAGAACTGGTGGCAACTAACGGGTTATCAGGTGCCTGGTCTACTGGGGTGATCAACCAAGGGTGAGAAGGAAAGGCCAAGGCTTGAGAAGAGGGGAAAGAGCAGGGCACTAAGCAAGCCAAACCAGGAGGTTCAAACCGTTGGCCGACAGTGAGCAGGCCGAGCCACGATGGACAGTGAGCATGGGATATACCCACACTGAAGCACTCGGGAGCTCAAAGCAGGTGAGTTTCAAGTCAGCCTAGGCTATGAAATCCTTCAAAAACAAACACACACACACACCCCAAAATAATAATAAACACGCACATGCACACACATACACACACACACACAGAAACAAAACAAAAACTTACCTCCAAACAATCAGGTACACACACTACATAAGCCCTGACTACTGAGCCATAACTCCAACCCAGGGTTCTTATGAGGGACAGTCCTCAGGGTACACAATGCTCTGAGCAGCAAAAACCATATATATTTTTTTTAAATTCAAAATAAATAAACCAAGATAGTAACATATATAACTGCCATCATAAAATATAATTTGTAGTCCAGTGGCAGAGCACCTGATGGTTTATGCCTGAGGTTCTACCCCCCAGTGCCAAAAGACAAAGCAAAATAACTCATTTGAGACAGGGTCTCTCTGTAGACCAAGCTGGACCCATATTCTCTTTGCCTCTGCCCACCAAGTGCTAGGATTAAAGGAATAAGTCACACCTGGGAAAATGTTAAAAATTTAGTATTAGCAGTTTCCCTGCATGTAGGTCTGTATGTCATGTGCACATCTGGTGCCCCTAGAGGTCAGAAGAGGGCGTTACATCCTCTGGGACTAGAGTCATGATGGCTGGGAGCCATCAAGTGTGCTGGGAAATGAACCTGGGTCCTTGACAAGAACAAGTGCTCTCAGCCACAGAGCCACCTCTCCAGTCCACAGAAGCAAGAGCGCGGTCCCCAGGAAAGCTGCCACAGGCCTGTGACATGAGCAGCCCAAGATGAGGAGCGTGCTGTTCTCAGTGTACAGAATGGTAGGTGACTTTGGAAGCCAGATGTCAGTGACCCTCTGGAACCCCTTCAGTTCATTGCCCTCCAGATCGTGTGGCTGTCTGCCGGCAAATCCAGACCGTGAAGCCTCTGCTTACAGGCCTTACCGTGGACCGCTTCCCGGCAAGGAAGAACCTACCCAGGCCTCTGAAGGCCAGTTTGGCCATGCTCCAGAACACCATTAAAGGATGTCGGGAACCTCTCTGCTCTCTAAGGAGGGGAACGCTGGGCTGTACCCAGCGCCTTCTCCCCGTGGTTTCCAACTCAGACTCAGAAAAAGCCATTTCCCAAAACACAGATAAGCAGCGTCCAGTGGCATTCTTACAAACGAAAGCACCTTCTGGCCTACTTACTGCCTCACAATCTTAAGATCTGGGAAGCTGGGCGTGGACAAACTTGTCTGTAATCCTTGTATTTATATAGCTCTGAAGCGGGTGTGGGCTGGGTGTGGATTGCTCGCCTGGAATTCCAGGAGGAAGAGGAGGGAGGGTCACAAGTTACAACCCACCTATGTTACATAGACCTACCTCAGTAAACGGGTTCAGATAGGGTCATTTGTTATTCTTGCAGAGGCCCTAGGTTCCATCCGCAGGAACCACAAGGCAGCTTACAATTATCTATAAGTCCTGTTCCAGGGAATCCAATGCTCTTTTCTGGCCTCCCAGGGCACCAGGCAAGCAAATAGCATGCAGTAAGATTTAAAAAAAATTAAAACAAATCAAAAACAGGATTGAGCCTGGCAGTGGTGGCACCCGCCTTTAATCCCAGCACTTGGGAGGCAGAGGCAGGCGGATTTCTGAGTTTGAGGCCAGCCTGGTCTACAGAGTGAGTTCCAGGACAGCCAAGGCTATACAGAGAAACCTTGTCTCGAAAAACCAAAACCAAACAAAACAACCAAAACCAGGATTGAGATGTCTGAATGTGTAAAGGGCTTGCTTTGAGAGCACACTAAGCCAGGTGTGGCGGGGCACGCCTTCTGTCCCAGTGTTTGATGGGCAGAGGCAGGCGGATTTCTGGAGTTCAAGGTCAACCAGGGGTCTGTAGAGAGATTCTGTCTCAAAAAAAAAACAAAGCTAAACAAAAAAGTATGACCAATGAGCTTGGAACCCAGAGTTTACAACCTGAGGCTGTCCTCTGAATTCGTGTGTATGGACACATGTGTGCAAACATACATCTCCCTAAGAAACCCACCAAAGAGCAAACATAACAACACAACACTCATGTATTTTAAATTCTCTCTTCCCTCCCCAAGTAGAGCAGACCAGAGTGGGGACAGGCAACAAGCCGGCTATGGCCGACACTCCAGGCACTATACCCGACTGTTGTCTCCTCTGCTTTCCATCCTCCTGGATGCTCATCCCATCCTGAGTGCTGGACACCATGGTTACCAAAGACAGAGCAGTCAATCTCAGCACACAATCTGACAGGAAGCATGCTTGAATTCCTGACCCAACTCCAAGTCCTGGTGGTTCTCTGCTCCACTTCCTGTTCTGCTTCAGAAACCTGCTCTACACCAGGCTGTTCACCCTTGGCCCAGTCTCCAGCAACCCTGAGGGTAGCTCCAGGTTGCTCAACCTTGGCCCAGCCCCCAGCAACCCTGAGGGGCAGCTCCAGTCTCCTGGCCAATCTTCCACTCTGGGTTGAGCCCAAGATATCCAGAAAAGAGTGCCTCGGGCTCAGAACACGAACCCCCAAACTTGCTACCAAATTACTTTCTTGCAGTCCTACCCTTCGGCTCAGAGGGAAGTGTCCAGTGCTAGGGCTGGTAGACGTACAATTCAGAATGAGGACGGCTAGTTGATGGCAGAAAGCCAACTAAAAAGGGGGGAAAATCTCTGGGGTCAAGATGGCTGCAGCCTCTACCCAAGTGGAACCTAGGCTCTCTCAGCCTCAGTGGGTACAATGGACACTTGCGGACAGGTTATTCTAAGTTTTGAGCACTTATCCATTAAAGGCCAGGACCAGGCTATCTCTTTTCTACAAGACAGAGGCCCCAGCCCTGATGTATGCAGCAGTGTGTCCTGTGCTTAGGGGTTTCCAAAGGGCAGGATCAAAGGGGCAGGACTGACCGGTCGTGCGTGGAGAAGCTGTTGCTATAGCGCGTGTCTTTGGCATACTTGATGACCAGGCACTTGTACTGGGCGATCTGGAAGCGCCGGACTCTTCTCATCAGCTCGGTGCTGCAAGAGTTACCAGGGGAAATGAGGCCCGAGCAAAACGCGGGCTGCCACCGCCACCTAGCGTCGGGCAGCCGGAACGGCACCCGTTCCCCAAGGCTTAACCCCATGCTGTTCTGAACAAACTTCAGTTTCAATGAATGAACTTCAAAGTCTTTGATAGAAACGCCAAAGAAGAGCTTGCTACTGGGCCCCAGATCTCGAGCTTGGTCCTCATCCTCGGAGCAGGGGACAACACTGAGGCGACACCAGGCCATTCAAGAATAGTGCGGTGCCTGGTGTGGTGATGCACCCCAACAGAGGCAGAGGCGCTTGGGCCACATAAAAAGACGCTGAGTTAAAAACCAAAATAATAATAATAATAACCCCCAAAACAAAGCAAAGAAACTCCGACTTGTGTTTGTGTGTGAGTGTGTGTTATTCCGGGTGGGACTCCCAGAGGTCAGCGTTAATTGGGCTCCAAGGCTTTAGGAGAGCTTGCACAGGGAATGAATGAGGAAACTGTCTCGGACAAGCTGTCTAATTCCCAGGGACACATGAGGGAGTCCGGGGGCTGCTGGGGATGTGGGCTGGGGGTTTTCAGTTGTACCCCCGTGATCTGCCTCCGCAAAGATAGGGTTCCCCGAGAGAAGAGGCTTGGGCGGGAAGGATTTTGGATTTTGGGCGGGAAGGGACGCACAGAGGTCGAGCCGCCCGCGTTTGCGGCCTACTCAGAGGCTTCTGGGAAGATGGGGGAGGCGGCAGAGGAGAGCCAGGGTCTGCAGAGAGAGGGAAGCCCACCGCCCCGAAGGCCCATTCATTCATTACCTTTTCCCTGAGAACATGGGCCCGAGAATCACCTAGAAGAGAAGTCATCTTAAGGGGTTCCCCCGTTGCACACCCCGCACCAGCCACCACCCGACCCCAGCCCAGACCCCGCACCTGGATCTGCCCCCGGGTCTTGCTGGGGGAGATGGGCAGCACGGTGGGCAGATTGATGTAACTCATGGCGGCTGTGCAAACCTTAGCTCAGGAGTCCGTGGGTGGGGACCTTTCGCTGCTCTTAACGCTCCCAGGACCATTTTCCCGCCAAGTTTCCTCAAATTAAAGTAGCAGACTGCCCCCGTGTGGGCGTGGCGGGGCCGGGCAAGCACAAGACCCGTCCCCTTTCAGTCCTGTGAAAAGCCTGGAGCTCCACATCCCCTCCGGATCTGGCCATGGCACTTCCTCTGGCTTCTCCTGTGGGCCAGGCTCCCTGGAGGACCTTGTCTTCAGAGGTAGGTACGTTGTAGCCGCCCAGAGCCCGGACTGGAGTTTTAGGAGTTTTACAATGCCCACAAGCCAGATTTCTTCATTTTCCTCGTTTTAGGGCAGGTTAAAACCTGTTAGTCTGGTTTTAAAGACAGCAAAAACTAAAGTCTGGGCTGAGGGTTTGGACTTTATTCTGAGGTTGTGCAATGTGGGTCTGTGTTTCTGTAACCACAGTCTGAAAGATGCCAAGGCTGGGGGTCCCTGTTGTGAGTCGCTAAAACCAGGCGGGCACCTTCAGAATTTCCATCCTAAAAACCCTACGGCTCACACAGAGCACGCCCAGAAATCTTTTCCTCACTCAGGAATTTTTTTTTAAAGATTTATTTATTTATTATGAGTACACTGTAGCTGTCTTCAGACACACCAGAAGAGGGCATCAGATCTCATTACAGATGGTTGTGAGCCACCATGTGGTTGCTGGGATTTGAACTCAGAACCTCTGGAAGTGCAGTCAGTGCTCTTAACCACTGAGCCATCTCTCCAGCTCCCTCACTCAGGAATTTGTGTTTGGTTACTCTGCCAGCTGGAAGGGTTACCAAAAGCATACACAAAGCACGACAACACATTTTGGTGCTTGAAGGGTTACCAAAGGCATACACAAAGCACGACAACACATTTTGGCGCTTGCTGTAATGACCATTCCGTTATGATTTCTTGACTGGTTAGCTTGCATTAAACAGGGTTCTTTGTTTTGGTCACAGACAGACATCACTTAGAATCTGTTGAAAGTTAGGAACACTGTTCGGTGGTGGCCCAAGCCTTCAATTCCAGGCAGAGCCAGAGAGGTGGTCTAGAGCACCTAAGAGGTACATTCAACAGGAAGAGGCAGCTGTGTTTGAGTGGCTTACATTGTTTCTTTTACACACCTCCCTTCTAACCCTGTAGGTGGCTAGCACGGCCATTATACCAATGAGCAGAGCGAGGCTAGAGACAGTAAGAGACAGGTTGATCAGACTCAGGTCTTTGTGTGAAGACGCACTGTCTTCAAGATTCCTATGCGCTGGCTTAGGAACCTGTCTCCTTGTTTTCTGTGTTAAGTATGGGCATTTTACATTTTCCCCTCGTGATGCTGGAGCTCGAACCCAGCACCTCACACACGCTAGGCAAGCGCTCTACCATTGAGCTATACCCCCACTTTTCCTTTATTTATAAACAGAGTCTCACTCTGTAGCCCTGGCTATCCAGGAACTTGCTTGACTCTAGGCTGTCCTGCCTCCGCCTCCACAGAGATCTGGGATTACAGCTGTGCGTCACCACACCGCCTCGCTGCATAGCCTCCTGTATCAGCCATCTGGCTGAGCAACGTTTGTAAACTGACCTTTGACTTTTTCTTCTTCCTTACCTGTGTCCCTGTGACCCTGTATGTACCATGGTCAGAATACTGTCCTCCCAGGAAAATAGCCCATGTCACTTGATCACTATTGGGCACACAGCTGTCTCACATCCTGCAGTCTCAGTTTCTGTAGAAATGTAGTCCCCCAAATGCCATTTACAGACATCATGTCTCATGAAGGCCGTTAGCTGGTTAAAGGCATGGTTACAGCCAGGGAACCTCTTTGGCACCTTTTGAGGGCACCTTAGATGTTCTGCTGAAATACCTAATGGGGCAGCTAGCCGGGGAGTGAGGAGAAGTTGAAAGGGCTTGTGGAAAGCTGCATGCATTAGAGTCTTCTCAGGACAGAGAGGTAGAGGGGATCAGCCATCGCGTGTGGGCGGGGTCTCCCTGAGAGGGAGAGTCTCACAAGGTTCTGTCTTGCCCACAGGAGCTGGAGAAGCAATACTCACCCAGCAGATGGGTCATCCGCATGAAACCAGAGGACGTTGTCGGGAACTTCGTGCAGATAGGAAGCCAGGGTACTGTGGGACTCTCTGGATACTGTGACTGCTTATCGGGGTTGGGGAGGGGGCTGCATCCCTGAGTGGATCAGACACATGGATGGGCCTCTGCTTGGGCAGGAGGTGAAGGTGTAGCTGGAGGCAGAAAAGGCTTGCACGAGGCCAAGCTCTGGTGAGACACCTAGGCTCCTCTCCTGGTTGGCTAAGGTCTCTAAGCTTGAAAGACATGGTTCTCAGCATGTAGATGGAGACCTCTATGGGTATCGAACCCTTTCACAGGGGTTGCCCAAGACCATTGGAGATATCAGATATTTATATTATGATTCATAACAGTAATACAATTCCAGTTATGAAGTAGCAACTGAAATGATTTTATGGTTGGGGGTCACCACGACATGAGGCACTGTATTAAAGGGTTGCAGCGTTAGGAAGGTTGAGAACCTCTGCACGGAAGGAGCATGCCATGGTTGGCACAGAGATGTGAACTGAAAAAAGCAAAGGAAGCAGGATACTGCTACTGTTTTCTTTTTTTAAAGTTTTTTTGTTTGTTTGTTTTTCAAGACAGGGTTTCTCTGTGCAGCCCTGGCTGTCCTGGAACTCACTCTGTAGACCAGGCTGGCCTTGAACTCAGAAATCCGCCTGCCTCTGCCTCCCAAGTGCTGGGATTAAAGGTGTGCGCCACCACCGCCCGGCCTTTTTTTTTTTTTTTAAGTTTTTTGATCTCTGTGTAGCCCTGGTTGTCAGGGAACTCACCCTGTAGACCAGGCTGGCCTTGAACTCAGAGATTCTCCTGCCTCTGCTTCCCAGATTCTGGGACTAAAGATGTACACTGTCACCACCCGGCTCACGCAGCTGTATTGTATTTTAATTTATTTTATTTTATTCTGAGACAGGGTCTTTCTGAGTAGCCTAGGCTGTCTTCGGATTTACTATATAACCCAGGCTGGCCTTGAACTCATTAACTTCCTGCCTCAGGCTCCTGAGTGCTGGGATTACAGGTGGCAATTGCTATACCCAGATCATATCGTTGTTATGTATAGAGAGTAACTAAGATGCCAGAGGAGGAGTATGGTGGTGGGATTCTTCCCAGCATGCACAGCCCTGGGTTAAACTCTCTGTGGCATAGACCTGGCATGGTAGTGCCTGGCTGTAATGCTAGCACCAGTGAGGCAGAGCAGAAGTTCAAAGTCATCCTCAATTACGTAGGAATCCGAGCCAGACTGAGATATGTGAGACCATGACTAGAGAGGGTATCAAGCCTTTGTTTCCTTTAAATCAGAGCTTGGGACTGTGTACATGTGAGGTCTTCCCTCTGCCCCATAGTGCTGAGGTGCTGTGGTGACTGAGACCCTCGGTGAGGTATCCATGCTGCGTGGGGAGCTGCTTTGAAGAGGAAGTAGGCTGTGGAGACAGCTGTCTTTCTGCTCAGAGTGGGAGTCTGAATGCTGGCCAAGTGCCTGGTCTCAGCAGACTGACCAAAACTTCCTATCGGGAGTTTCCTCAATAGAGACAGCCAGGGAGAGGATCAGACTTTGGGAGTGTCAACCCACAGGTTCTGTCTTGTTCCTTGGCCCCTTAGTGTGGGTTGGAGCTGTTTCTGGGCTCTGAAGTTTCCTCGCTGTTGCAGTGAACGTGTGTAGATGTGCAGGCTTGGAGTGAGCATGTTTGCCTGTCTTGTCTGGAGAAAGAAAAAGCCAGCCCAGCAGGGAGAGGAACTCACCAGTCAAAGCCCAGAGCTGAGACTAGGCCACTGCTCGCTCAGTACCTTCTGTGGTCAGCTCTCAGGAAGCGCTAGCAGGGCTGTCCTGCTGGTGCACCCCCTGATCTCAGCACTCACAGACAGATCTTACGACTCACGCCTCCCCCAGTTCTCAGTCTCTTCCCTGCTCCTCTTGCCTTTCCGTGTGGTCTTTGGATTTGAGTGAGCTCTGAGACTGAGCCCCGGGCCTCCTTCTCTACCTTCGCCTTATTCTGGCCTCTTCAGCTTGTGGAGGATGACCGTGCACTTCTGATCCCTCTGCCTCCACCCTCCTGTCACTGCAGGTGACTGACTACCCAGCTACGTTGGTGTTTTGAGTATTTGTTCCAGAGTCTGTAACAAGGGCTGGGTTCCTTCCCCAGCCCTCAAAGCAAACAAGATATAGAGACTGGTACAGCTCACGGCTGACGCTAACATTAAACCCTGTTTGCAGGAGCTGGGGAGATGTCTGAGGGAATGGTTAAGTTCTGACTGCTCTTCCAGAAGTCCTGTGTTCGATTCCTAGCACCTACATGGAAGCCCACCATTGTCTGTAACTCCAGCTCCAGAGGATCTGACATGACTTTCTGGTCTCCTCAGGCACCGGGCATATACATGGTACACAGACATATACATTCAGGCAAAATACTCATACACATAAAATAAATTAAAATCAAAAGCATATTTGCTAAATGGAGTAACAATGAAAATAACCCCGAATCTGAAGGCTAGGGAGATAGTTCAGTGATCAAGAGCATGCACTACTCTTGAACAGGATCAGAATTCGGTTCCTGGCTCCCATGTTAGGTGGCCCACAACTGCCTGTCACTCCAGCTCCGGGGGATCTGAAGCCCTCCTCTGACTCCCACAGAGACCTGTACATAAGCACATGGACACACAGAGATGCACATATACATACATAAATAAAATAAGTCTTTTTTAAAAAAACCCACAAGCCGGGCGGTGGTGGCGCACGCCTTTAATCCCAGCACTTAGGAGGCAGAAGCAGGTGGATTTCTGAGTTTGAGGCCGACCTGGTCTACAGAGTGAGTTCCAGGACAGCCAGGGCTACAGAGAGAAACTCTGTCTCGAAAAACAAAACAAAACAAAACAAAAACCCCACAAAAATATAATCTTATCATTTCAAGAGGCTGAAGCAGGAGGTTCAAGGCCAACCTGGGCTATGTAGCAGCTCTAGGTCATCCTGGATAAATGTGTCTCAAAATGGAAAACAAAACAGTATGGTATCTGGTGATCCCAGATGTTGAAATGTCCAGGTAGGAAGATCAGAAGTTCAAGGTCACCTTGGCTAGGTAGGGCTCTGAGCCATCTGAGGTTGCATGAGATCCTGTATCAAACAAACTGAAGGTTCCAGAAAGAGGCAGCATGCTTGACTCTGTGTCTATGACCTATACTGAGCTCTGGTTTCTGCGTCTCACTGACCAGTGTCCTCTCACGCTTGGATTCATCTGCGTGGCTTCTGCTCTGCTTCTGTTTTTAGACTGCTACCACAGCATTCCTGTTGTCTCTGGCAATGATTTCTAGAACCTGGGGTTTTGGCTATAAGAGTTTTGGCGCTTTGGATTATGAATAATTAAAGTCCAGTTCTGTCTTTGTTATGAAGTTTATTCTGGGGTGTCTTGTGAAAGCCCTCCTTTGTTCCTACATAGTGGTTCAGAGCCTGGAGGTTGGGGGATATTCACACTCTGGAGGAGGCTGTACCTCACCTCATCTTTGTGTCCCACAGCCAGTGAGCCGTGTCCCAGCCAGAGGCCGGGCCTTGTTCTTCTCAGGTCAGCAGTGCTTTGAGTGTCTGAGATTTCTGTGAGCCGGACCGCCTACAGAGGTGTTGTTTCTGTTCCTTGTCAATGGAGAACAAAATGTGGTTTTAGCACCAAATAAATCTGATTCAGCCAGGCAAGCTGTCAGGACTCTTAGCAAAATCACCGGCTCTTGATTGACCCCTGTGCTGACAAGACCCTGAGGCACACACACACACTTCTCCCTTTTGGAAGGTCCCCTGGAAGATTCCACCAGTGCCCTCCTAAAGACAAGCATGGTCACCCTCTGGCCCAGAAGCCACACTTCCTGAAGGTGTGGGTTCCCAGGGTCAGCACAATATGGACAAAGCTGATGTCAGCAGGGTGGCTGTGAGACCCTAAGATAATAACCCATACATGGCCATGGTTGGATCTCAGCCATGGAGTGGCCATTAGGGATGCTCGTTGTGACAGATGCTGATGTCAGTCAGCTACAGGGGTCCAGGGAGGAACAGGAAGAATAGAGAGGGGTGTCGCTACCATCCAGGGACAAGAGAAGGCAGAACCCACTAGGGAGTCTCAGTGCTGGTGGGAGGGGGACCCTGATTCAAGATAGGATGTGGAGACCGAGTCTCAGAGAGAGGAGCTGAGGACAGAGCAGGAGACACAGCGGTGTCACTGGTGGAGAGGACGACTGTGACCATTGTATGGGACCTGCGTAACCCATGCTTGCTCTTTACCTGAGGAAATACTTTTTTATTTGTCTCAGGACAGTCTTGGTGTGTAGCAAGGCTACCTTAAGAGACTCCTGCCTCAGCATCTCAGGTGCTGGCAGGTCACAGATGGATCTCTTCTTTTCTGAATGTTATTTCTGGGGCCCTGGTTATACGTGGTTTTTGTTGACTTCGGGGTCATGACAGTCTGTCTTGCTGCTGTCCTTTTACGAGTGTGTGCCCGAGTGCATGTGCTGCAGCGGGTGTGTGGCAGTCAGGACAGCTTTTGAGAATTGTTTCTCTCCTTGCACCATGTGGGTCTGGGAGATTGAACTCAGTCAGATCTTCAGGCTTGGTGGCAAGCCTCGTTACCTGTTAAGCCATATCACCGGCTCCTAAGGTGCTTTCTCAAAGTCCAGTTTACATTTAACATATCTGGAATTGATCTTTGTGGTGTGCGATAGGGGTCGCTTGGATATTTAATTGTCCCAGTACTCTTAACTGCCAAGACACCACCTCCAGTTTTTGTTTAAAATAATAAATCTTTTTTAGAAGGTACTGTTTTCAACTCAAATGTTCCTGTCTCTAATTGGATGGTATCAAGAGTATCCGTTTCAGAATGATAAAGATGGCTCAGTAGGTAACAGTACTTGCATGGGAGCCTGGTGACCTGAGTTTCATAGACCTTTTTTGAGATCCTGCCTCAAAAAATAAAACTAGGAGCCAGGTGTGGTGGTACACACCATTGATCTCAGCCCTCTGGGAGGCAGAGGCAGGCAGATCCCAGAGTTCAAGGCCAAGGCTACACAGAGAAACCCTGTCTCAAAAACACACCCAACATTTTTTTCAATAGATAAAAAATAAGGCAAGGGCTGAGGCCCTGGCTCGGTTGATGACGTGCTCTGGTCAAATGTGAGGACCTGTGTTCAGACTTGGTGGCAACCACACCCTCCCCGCCACACACACAAGATTTCCTCTGGCAACCTCAGTTCGATCCCTAGTACTTGTGGTGAAAGGAAAGAATAAATTACTGTAAGTTGTCCTCTAGCCTGCACAAGCATACCGCGACACGTTCACACCTTAACGTTCACACCCTAACACATACACACACGCGTACTGAATGAATGAAAATGTAATTTAAAAAATGCGCCGGTGCGGATTTCTGAGTTCGAGGCCAGCCTGGTCTACAGAGTGAGTTCCAGGACAGCCAGGGCTATACAGAGAAACTCTGTCTCGAAAAACCAAAAAAAAAAAGAAAAGAAAAGAAAAGAAAAGAAAAATGCGCCGGTTTTCCTAATGCTTAGATAGGTGTGTGCTATCTAGTGGTAAATGCGATCAGAATGCAGAGACGTAGCGGCAGCCAGCCGCAATGCCCTCTGGGGCCACGGGTCACTTGTCTGCAGATGTCAGGGTGGGGCTCCTGGCGGAAGCTGCCTCAGCTGACCCCTTACCACTGAGGAGGATGCTGCAAACTGTCCAGAAAGAACTTTCTGTACCTGGGCTTAACTGACAGCGACTCATCTGCCTCTGCAGCCACCCAGAAGGCCCGGACCACCAGGAGGAACCAGCTGGATGTCCCTTACGGAGATGGTATAGGGGAGAAAATGGATATCTACCTTCCCGAGGAGGATTCCAAGGGTGAGATGGGCGGGGCCAATGGTCCCCCTCGAGGCAGCCGGGTGTCCGGCTCACCAGCGCCCCCTGCCGTGTGTTACAGCTCTCCCTCTCTTCCTGTTCTTGCATGGAGGATACTGGCAGAGCGGAAGGTGAGTGGGGATGGAGGTGACTAGTGAGCGTGAGTCACCCTTCCCCAGGTCGGTGTTCCGGAGGGAGCTGCCGTGACACATTTCCAGCCTATGAGAAGAGAAGCGCGACCTCTCACATCCGTGTGACAGGAAGCCAGAATCGAGGTGCCGCGGGGCCTCGCTAGAGCTGCTAAGGGGGCGGTGTGCCCTGGCTGGGTGTCCCTCAGCTTCTGTTTTCGTCCTCACGTGGTCATTGATACTTGAGTCTCAGAGCTCAGTCTCATAAAGACACCACCTTAGGGTTGGACACATGGCTCGGGTAAAGAGCACTTACCAGAGCCAGAGGACATGAGTTTGGCTCCCAGCACCCCAGAGCTTCGGGGATCTGACTCTCCTGGCTTCTACACTCATGCACAGACATATACATTAAAAATATGTAATAATTTAGGGGAAAGGTTGAGACAGGGTTTCTCTGTGTAGCCCTGCCTGCCCTGGAGCTCGCTCTGTAGACCAGGCTGGCCTCAAACTCAGATCTGCCTTCCTGTGTCTCCCAAGTGCTGGGATTAAAGGTGTGCACCACCACCTCTTTTTAAAGAAATAAACCTTTTTAAGAGGCACTATTTTAGATTTAGATGTCTTTGTACCTATTTAGATCTCAAGATTATCAATTTCTAATTTACAAGATGGCTCAGCGGGTGAAGGTCCTTGCCGGGCAAGCCTTGTTTGGGACTAAGACGACATGGAGTATTTGGTGCTTTGGAAGTAAGAACAGGGAAGCTGAGGCAGGAGGATTACTGCAAGTTTGAGGCCAGCCTTGTCTCAGAAGACACACAGCAAGAAGGTGGGGTGTAGTGGATCGGTACGGCCTGTGGTCTACAGCAAGCCCTTGGTTGCATCGCTGGCACTGAATAAAACTCAGCGTGATGACACGTACCTGTGATTCCAGCCCTCAGGAGCTGGAGGTCGGGATCAGTCGTTATCCACGGCTATATAGGGAAGGACATGTTTACACACACGTGCTGCGTACACACTAAATAGATACAGTTGGTGTCCCTGCATTGAGAAGAAGGGTGTTTGGGGTCTTGGAGGACACCCCTGTTCTGAGGATCGTCCTGAGATGCCTGTCGTGGGGTCCATCCCGCCCCCAGCTCAGTCCTCTTTGTAGTTTTGGTCGGATTCAGCTGCTGTAGTTATTCCACTTAACTCTCTGCACTTTTCATTGCCAGCTCGCACAACGCGCTAGGACAGGGAACACAAATGTCTCCATTTTCAGGGAAGGGAGCCAGCTTAGGGATTAAAGTCCGTAGTAGGGACAGCCTGTTCCTTTCCCTCAGCACAGTGTCCTGTGCGCATGGGGTATCTGCCCTGAGGCGTCTGTGTCCAGAACCTTAGGGAGGGAATGTCATGCTCAAATTGTCTCCAGCTGTCACCTCTTTATCTTTCATTTTGTATTGTTTGGGTTTCTTGAGACTGGGTCTCATACCTGAGGCTAGCCTCAAACTCACTAAGTAGCTGAGGATGACCTTGGACTCCTGATTCTTCTGCCTCTCCTTCCCAAGTATGTATTATAAGGTACATCATCATCACCATCATCACCACCACCATCATCACCATCATCATCATAGATGTATGTGCACCTCAATCCCGCCTGGTGCCTGCATAGCTAGAAGAACAACTGGAGTTCCAGATGTTCGTGAGCTTCCCCGTGGGAGCTGAGGGTTGAACCTTCCTGCTCTGGAAGAGTAGCTAGTGCTCTTAACCCTCGGGCCAGCCTCCAGCTCCCAGCCCATCTTTGTCTTTCCACAGTAAGGATGACTCGGCCTTCATGGTAAACCCACTGACTGCACAGGGAATCGTGGTGGTGATAGTGGCTTATGACATTGCACCCAAAGGTAATAAGGGGTGGCCCCTGAAGATTTGGGGGCCAGAGCTTTGTGTGGATAGAGCTTCCCTTCCCCCCCTTACCCCCCATGGATCCTGACCCAGCATTTTGCTGTGTTCAGGCACACTGGACCGGATGGTGGACCAGGTGACCCGCAGTGTCGTGTTTCTGCAGAGGCGCTATCCAAGCAATGAGTAAGTGTCTCACAGATGCTCTCAGTGGACCAAGAGAGGGCTAGGTCTGTGGAGCCCGACACAGACTGGGACTTCTGATGCCTTAGGGAAGGAAGTCGCCGTAATCCGGGTCTCTGTCTCACCCAGGGGAATCTACCTCTGTGGACACTCTGCAGGAGCTCACCTGGCTGCCATGGTGCTTCTGGCCAGCTGGACCAAGCATGGTGTCACACCCAACCTCCAAGGTTTCTTATTATTTGTCAAAACATGATGTCAGGTAGCCCAGGCTGGCATCTAACCTGTAAGGTTTCTGTCAGTGTGGGAGGAGCTTCCCGAGCTCTTATCCTCTCTGGAGTGGTGGAGGTTAGAGAGGCTGAGAAGTGGAGACCTTTCTTTGCCCTCTGCCCACAATCCTGATCTTCCTCTCTGGCCTGAGGGGTGGGCAGGTCCATCTTACTAGGCCTGGCCCCTGGCTTGAGCACCTCACCTTCACAGGCTTTGTCCTGGTGAGTGGGATCTATGACCTGGAACCCATCATATCTACCTCTCAGAATAACCGTCTGCACATGACCCTGTGAGTTGTCCGCCCTTCCTCTCTCTCCGGCACCCACCCGAGGCCCATCTCCCCTCTGTCCTGACCCCTCCACTGTCCCATCCCAGGGAAGATGCTCAGAGAAACAGTCCACAGCGACGCTTGGAGGTGGCTCCAGCACGGCCAGTGGTTCCAGCCTGCCCTGTGCTGGTGCTTGTGGGTCAGCATGACTCTCCAGAGTTCCACCGGCAGTCCAAGGAGTTCTGTGAGGTACCGCTAACAGCCAGCTATAGCCCCAGGTTCAGCATCACGTGATCTCACCTTCCCTCGTTATTCTTCCTACATCAGCCAGACCTGGGGATGCACACACGTACACCCAGTTACTCCAGAGGCTGAGGCAAGAGGATCATGTGATCAGGGTGTATTATAAAGAGAGCCCAAGGCTAGCCTAAGGAACTTAGCAAGACCCTGTTGTAAAATTTAAAGAAAGAAAGGTTAGGTTGTAACTGGATGGAAATGGTTTGGTAAGCATAAACAAGGTTCTGGGCAATCCCTAGGACTGTAACAAAGAGACATAGTCTATCCAGCCAGACCCCTTGATGGTCATTCTCTCATTCCACAAAGCCATTCAAATAAACCTGCCATGTACCGGACACTTGAGAGCTACCGCCCCAGCCGCACTCTTATGCCCCGCCTCCATTTTCTCTCCAGACACTATGCCACGTAGGATGGAAGGCCTCTTTCCAGCAGCTGTGTGGTGTGGATCACTTTGACATCATAGAGAATCTGACCAGGGAGGATGACACGCTCACACAGGTGGGGCTCACCCTCCCCCTCACCCCATGGACACTGTGGACCCCACACCCTCACACATGGCGGTGGCCAGGGGACAAAGGATAAATGGATGATTGTTGCCACGCATCTAACAGGAAATAATCTTTTTCTTTTCTCCCCCCCCCCTTTAGTAGTAGGGAAGGGCACCTGACTGGCTTGATTTTATTCTGAGGTGCTGGGAATTGAACACTGTATATATATGTGTGTGTATGTGTGTGTGTGCACGTGTGTGTACATGTGGAGGCCAGAGGTTGACATGAGGCATTTTCAGACACTCATTTTTTTTTTATTTTATGTATGAGTTCAGATTCCATTACAGATGGTTCTGAGCCACCATGTGGTTGCTGGGAATTGAACTCAGGACCTCTGGAAGAGCAGTCAGTGCTCTTAACCACTGAGCCATCTCTCTAGCCCTACTCTTCTCATTTTTGGAGACAGTGCATCTCACCGAACCTGGAGCTTATTGGTTTTGGCAGACTGGCTGCTGCTGACCAGTGAGTTTCAGGGATCCACCTATCTCTGCCCTCTACCCCAGCACTGGCGTCCAATGTGTGCCCCCGCACTCAGCCTCTGAGGGTTCTGGGAATCTGAATTCATGTCCTCATACTTGTGTGTCAGGAATCTCCCCAACTGAGCCACCTCTCGGTCCCTGCTTTTCAGCTGGGAGACAGGACCTTCCTAAGTAGCCCAGACAGGCTTTTAAAATACCTTTTTGTTACGCTTGCCTGTCTACTCTGTGTGGGTGTGTGGAGGTCAGAGGCTCACTTGCAGGAGTTGGTTATTCTCTTCAACAGTTCTGGGCTCAAACTCAAGTAGTCAGACTTGATGGCAAGCACCTCTGCCCACTGAGCCAGCCCATTTAGGGTTTGAACTTGTAACCCTCTGTCTCAGTATCCTGTGGACTACAGGCCTAGCTTAGACCTTTATTTACTTGTTTGTCTATTTATTCTGAGACAGTCTCACTCTGTAGCCTGGCTGGCCTGGAACTCAGAGATCCACCTGCCTCTGCCTCCCAAGTGTTGGGATCAAATGTATGTGCTGGCACCTACAACCACTTCTTTACTTGGGTAGCCATCCACTCCTGGGCTTTCCTGTCTTCTTTTCTCCCTGCAGATCATTTTGAAAACAATCTTCCAGAAGCCGTGAGGACCCCCAATCCTCAGCCTGTATGTACCTCAGAGAGCCTCCAGAAAAGAGGTGACTGCTCCATCTCACACTGGCTTGCCTGTCCACCCCGTACGGTCTCCCTGCCATGAACACCACCTCCTCTTCTGCCATTCTTCGACCCACCCAGATGGAGCTCCAGGGAAAGCCTGCAGATTGTCACTGGGAGATGCACACAGCCACCACCTGACCAAGTCTGCCTACACGCACACACACACACACACACACGCACACACGCACACACACACACACACCACCACCACCACCCCCTGCCTGCTTATGGGGCATGGCATTCAACTTCTGGCTGGCTTTCTATGCCAGTTAGCGGTGTCCGTGTGGACTGGCTGGAGCTCAGTGCTGGAGTTCTGCCTATCTCCTACTGCAAGAGAGGGTGGGGTGCGGAGAAGGAATGAAGACAGACAGACAGACAGACAGACAGACAGACCGACCGACCACTAGGGGATGAAGCTCACTGGTAGAATGCCTGGCCAACATGCATAGGGTCCTGAGTTTAACAAGGAAACCTGGCATTAACAAGGAAAAAATAAAGAAAAGAGGAGAGAGAGAAAGAGAGAGAGACCCAGTGTATGCCTGAATCCCAGCAGTGAGGCAGGAGGATTGCTTGTGAGTTCAAGGCCATCCTGGACTACATAGCTAGACCCTGTCTCAAAAAAAAAAAAAAAAAAGGGCTGGAGAGATGGCTCGGCAGGTCAGAGTGCCTGGCACCGAGCCTGACAATCTGTTTGGTCCTGGGGACCCATATGGAAGGAAACAACCGACTCCCCCAAATTGTCCTTTGGCTGCCATGTGTATGTACCTTAGCATACATACCACACATACGTGATGATGGTGATAAAAGAGCCTGCTGGGTGAACTAACAAGGGTTTGCTTAGCACTGCACCATCCCAGAGCGGCTACCTACACAAAGAGCTGTGTGCAGCAGGCTCCACCAGACCTGACGCCTATTGCAGCACACCCCATAGCCACTGGTCTTTCTGAGCCAGCTGGTGTGGGCTGTAGCCATCCTTTTTGCTTACTTCATTGGGTTCTTAAATCTACCAGTCTTTTCCACCCCAATCCCTTCCAACCCCCAACACTTGGTAGTGGAGATGGTTAGAGGAGAAGGGGGAGTAGATCTCTTTAGATGCCCTGCTGGTTAGGGGCGTCCAGATCCTTGGGGGAAAGTCCAACCAGCAAAAAGTCATCAAACAGCAAAAGCAGCCGCAGGGGATACAGCAGCCACCTCCTCTTGGGGCTGACATTTTTATAACCTCTGAAGAATCCCCAAAATTCCAAATGTAAACTATCTTTAGCTGGCAGATTCATGCCCCTGCCGGAATAGGAGACAAATTGTAACCCCTGTGGACAATCTGAAGCAGCCCCTTATCCCACACCTGGGATTAAAACAAAAGCATATTCACATAACTGGGTTGTTTTGTTTGTTTAATGTATATAAGTACACTGTCACTCTTCAGACACACCAGAAGAGGGCATCAGATCCCATTACAGATGGCTGTGAGCCTCCGTGTGGTTGCTGGGAATTGAACTCAGACCTCTGGAAGAGCAGTCAGTGCTCTTAACTACTGAACTTTCTCTCCAGCCCCATAACTGGGTTTTTAAAGAACCAAAATTCTCACTATAGTGGGCGTTCCTGCTTCATTCAAAGCTCCCCTCAAACTCTATGGTGGGGCATGCCAGCAATCCCAGCACTTGAGGTAGAGGCAGGAGGGTTTTGGGACCTAGAAAGGGTTCTTTAGCACATGTCTAATTTGTGGTGTGGTTCTGTGTGCCTAGTTTGCTTTCGTTTCTGTGGCAACTATCACAACCAAAGCAACTCTCAGAAGGAAAAAGTTCATTTCATCCTATACTTTTCAGTCTGTCATCCAAGGAAGCCAAGGCAGGACCTTGAAGCAGAAACACCAGAGGAAGGCCGTCTACTGTCTTGCTCCCAACCTCATGGTCAGCCAACTCTCTTCTACAGTCCAGACCCACCTGCCTAGGGATGACACCGCCCATGGTGGTCTGGACCCTTTTACATGAATTAGTAATTAAGACAGAGTCCCACAGACATGGCGACAGGCTACTCTGACGGAGCAGCTCCTCAGCTGATAGTTTCTCTACCTGGATGTGTGTCTAGGATTGTGTGAAGTTGACCATCTATGACTTCTTAACGTCCTGACGATTATAAGAAGTGGAAAGCCCACATTTCCATGCCTTCCCCTTTCCTGCGGAATTCAGGGCTCCTACAGAGTGGAGCATTCACGCAGGGCATCTGCGTGGGCTTTTTTATCGTTACTCCTTTGTGTGAGCCAATTCCCTTTCTGGGCAGACAACCTTAGCCTTAGTTGCATCTTATCACCCACTGGGGACCGTGCAACCAGTTTTCCCCCATCTGCTTCCGAGTCTGTCTGTCCTTATTCAGGCATCAGTTGTATCACATGACTTCCTGAGGGGATATGAACAAAGCATCTACTCACCCCAGAAAGGGCACCAACAACAGACCAAAGGAATGGTCCCATCAAGTCTAGTGCCCAGGGAGTTTATTACTGACAGGGGCATGATTGACTCAAGACAGCTGTGTCCCTGAAAAATCCTCACAGCATGGGAGCACCTGGAGCTCCTGCCTAAGGTCAGATGAGGCCTTTCAGCGTTTATGTGCTGATTTTATTAGCTTGGAGCTGGGCCTTGCAGCTCCTGGATGGTTCTGGGCTGAGCATTGCTGAGCCTTCTGACTCCCTACAGGAGCGAATGTTTCAATCTAGCGGAGACAGCTACACAACAGCAATCAAGAAAGATTCAAATATCAGGGCTGGAGAGATGGCTTCAGAGTACAGTTTGCTCTTGCAGACTTGAGTTCTATTCCCAGCGTCCACATCTGGCAGGTCACAACTGCCTGTATCTACAGTTCCAGGAGGACCAGACCTCTCTGGTCTCTGGAGGCACTGCACAAAGTGATTGAAAATACAAATAAAATTTTCATAGAAACCTTCAAATTTAGGTGACTACAGATAAACTGTTGGAACATGCATGGCCTTGTTCATGGTAGCCTTTGTGCTCCAGGGCAGCTGGGGTACCTGCAACACAGTTGGTCTAGGCCAATGCAGAAATGCACCCAGCCCTGGGTAAGGCTTCTCTGCACTTCAGTCTGTGCTAGGTCCCTCCTGACATCAGATATTTATAGTGGATTAATTTCTCATTCCTAGGACTAAACTCCAAGAAACTCCCAACTTAAGGAGGGCCTATTCATTTATTTATTTATTTTGTTTATTTTTTTTTTTGAGACAAGGTTTTTCTGTGCAGCCCTGGCTGTCCTGGAACTCACTCTGTAGACCAGGCTGGCCTCGAACTCAGAAATCCACCTGCCTCTGCCTCCCAAGTGCTGGGATTAAAGGTGTGCGCCACCACTGCCTGGCTAGGGAGGGCCTATTTTATGATTTTGTGGAGATGAAGCCCACTATAGTGGAGAGAGGCATGGAGCACAGGGCTGCTGACTCTTGTCTCCAAAGACCAGGAAGGATGCTTCCTAGGTTCTGAGAGAGTCACGTGTGTGGAGCCAGCCATGTCATCTCAGTCCAGGCCACCCCACAGCCTGGACCTCTCTCTGAGTACCTAGTAGTCAAGAATATCCACAGTGAGCCAGGCTGAGACAGGGACATTGCCATGAGTTCAAGTCCAGTCTGAGCTCCAGAGCAAGACCAAGTATAGGCAGTCCCGTAGCAGAACCACAGAGCTCTCTTGAGTCTCACTTCCAGTGTTTGTAAATTACAGGGGACATTCAGTAGTTTTATCAAACAGGCCTAACTGTAGCCTGGTGTCAGGGTTCTGAACAGATTTGTGTTTCGTTATCTGAGGCAAGGTCTTGTTGTATAGTGACTTCGAGCTACTACTTCCTGTGTAGCTCCAGTTCTGGGCATTCTCCTCTGGGCCCCATTGGTACCGCATACCCGGCTGGCATATATCCTCTTTCCAGCCCTTGCATTGTAGTAGTGCCTGCCTGTCATCCAACCACTGGAGAAACCAAGGCATAATGAACACTGCCAGAATAGAGCTAGCCTGGGCAACATAGTGAACTGCCTGGCATGGGTGCTGGGAACTGAGCTCATGCCCTGGAAGATCAGGAAGAGCTCTTTACTTTGAGTTCTCTCCAGCCCCACCAGGCCTGGCTTTCTGAGTGGCTTTAAGGCAGGATGTTGGGGTGGTGAGGCCTGTTGAGTCCATCTTTGACTTGGGATAATTCCATTCATAGTGCGTTCATTGGAACAGAGCACCTTAACATCTGAGTGACGTGAACCACGTGGCCACTAGACAACTACATGGACCACATAGAAAGTTAGGATACATTTTTAGTGACATACGTGAGATGTTCAACCATATACTGCAGCACAGTATCAGACTGTCATATGAAGCCACAAAATTCATGGGTGTCTGTCTGTCTGTCTATTTTTGTTTTTGAAAAACAAAATAGTTTCTCTATGTATCCCTGGCTAGCCTGCACCTCATAGGTAGACCAGGATGGCTTCAAACTTAGAGAGATCAACTTGCCTCTGTCTCCCTGGGATTAGAGAAGTGCACTACCCCTATGAATTTCTGTTTGCACACATAACAATGAATATAAAGGAAAAGTCTAGAAAGATTCACACTGAAGGTCTCTGTGTCCCTTTGTGGGGGTATGGTGCCAGGAAGATGTGTGTGTGGGGGGAGGATGTTTGCCTTCTCTGGACTCTTTGAATCTTTACATGGGAGTTGAAAGAGGACTGAGAACATCAGTGTTCTATGAATTAGCAACATTAAGATTCTCAGAGTCCTCGTTGGAAGCTGCGAGGTGCGAATGTTGTGGTTATGACCAGAATCCACTCTGTCATTACAAAGGAAGTGACTCCCGGCTGTAGGACCTCAGTGAATGTAATACATTTCCTGGGATATCTCTCACCTGAGTTGCTCACTAGGCTGTAGCCTAAAATAGGCATGAGCAAACATAAACGAATCCACAAACATATAGATATATGCTCTGCTATATGCATGTATAGTGAAAGGGGCTGGGAGCCTGTTTGCCAGCAATACCAGCATTTGACAGGCAGAGGCAGGAAGAGCTAGCTAGACTCTCAAAAGCCAAAAAGGGGCTGCCAAGATGGCTCAGCAGATAAAAGCACTTGCCGATCCAGCCTGACCTTGTCCTTGGATCCCAAGGTGGAAGGAGAGAACAAACTCTCAAAAATTGTCCTGACCCCCACACAGGAGCGAGACACACACACACACACACACACACACACACACACACGTGTATATACATACATCACACATACACAAACACTAATAACAATCGGAAGGGGTTTTTAAACTATTTTTTATTATACTTAACTATGTATATGGAGGATGTGTGCACAGGAGTGCAGGTGCACACATAGGTCTGAGGTTCCAGGCAGTTTGGGTGCTGGGAATTTAACTCAGGTCCTCAGGAAGAGCAGTGTGTGCTCTTAACTGCTGAGCCATCTCTCCAGCCCCAACAATCAGTACTTTTTAAAAATTAAAGATGCTACTTTTAAAATGTAAAGAGTCGAAAAACAAAAAAACAA